GAGCTTCAAGTATACAATGGTATATGATTGAATATTATATCGTCGCTTGTTTACTATTTGCAAGGGGGTATCCCAGATCTCTGATGTCCGTCTCTCGCCACTTCGTGACAGAAGATGACGTCTCCCTACAAGTCCTTGATTCTCGCTGCCGCTCTTCTATGGGCCAAGTGCGCATCTGCATTGATTCCAGATTCCGCACTTTTCTCGGCCTCGGCTCGTGCTATCATCCATTCTTGCCTGCAATGAACCCGTACATTTCCCTTTCGCCATCTGTGCCTTCACAGGACCTTAAGCGTACATCCCATCATCGCCATCGCTTTCTTCGTCCTCGTCCCTCTTTCTTCTTTCCTCCTCCTCCTTCCTCTTTTCCTCTCCATCAGCCCCAAATCCCAAGCTTTCCACGCCCCTCCTCATCCTCTCTCTCTCCCTCTCCGCCTCCTTTCCCCTCTCCTCCCCGTCTCCAACCTTCTTCCTATCCAAAGGACATGTCCCATTCAATCTCAACCACGGGCCCACACAATCCAAATCAAATTTATGAGTTTCATGACATGGTAACACAACGACTAAGCAATATTGGTCGTCCAGAAACTTCTCGCCGCAGATCGGGCATGTTTCGTCCGCCTTTAGGGAGGAACGAGGAATGCGATCGATGGTATCGAGGTAGGCTTGAGAACATCCGGAGATGGTGGTGGGCGGAGAGTCTATTTGAGATGTGATGGAGGAGATAAGAAGGTCGAGAAGAGGGGCTGTGGTCGAGGAGGGGTCATTGGTGCGGAGGGTTAGAAATTGGTCTTGGAGAAGGCGGTAGGAGGCTGCTACGTCAACCTGTTCATATAGATTAGCTTTCAAATTGACTGAAGGACATGATCTTGATTTGAGGAAGACCAGAACACACGGGAGTAGGGACAGCATGCGGATTATTGTGATGCCAGTTTGGATCAGTAGTAGAAGTCGAGGTTTCACACTGTGATAATTGGTTGAAGAAGGAGGACATAGAAGGACGGCGACGAGGTCGAGACGACTGCGGAGACGCTTTTATGTTATGTTCGACTATTATATGTTAACAGCAGCTCATCAATATAGCGAAGGAACTGAATGGCGGGGCAAAGAGGGTTGGGAAGCTTACCTTCATAGGGATTCATCTTGGAGTTGGGTTTCAAACTTCACCGTATAATGCAAATGTTTTGAATATATTTTGAGATGGAAATAAGACAATATATTTATATAAGGATGAGGGTAGACAAGAAAGTAGATATGTTACGAGGAAAGGTAGGCAGAGGACGAGACGCAAGCCTTTTCGCTTAAAGCCGAGGCTGGCATGCAAGGCTGTGGTGTGAATCTTGGTATCATGAGATCCCTGTACGAGGACAAGACATTTTCGTGTTCCGATTTTTATCCAGACGACGTCAGGCATCCTCAGATGGATCAAGATCTCTGATTGTGTTAAACAATACTCTTTCGGTTGCAATTCATGTTATGTGCTTCCAACCAACCATCGAGCAACTCCATTTCTGCTCAAAGCAAATCGCGTTCCAAGTCCCAGTCCGGGAAATAACATGCAATGGTGCCATTTGGAGCTCGACGATCAGGGCTACCTTTCGAGCCCCTCTTTGAATTAAATCTCGCACTGTCACTTCTAGTTGGATCCCATCACTTCTATTCCCTCCAAAGTTGATGTTACCAGGCGCGGTCTTGCTTCCGTACCATGGAAATTAAATTCTGCCAGATTCGGCCTTGGATTGTTTGTACGGCTGTTGAGCATGCAACTTCAAGGTTGTGGTTTCAAGGGTACATTGTTGAGCGGTACGTTGTCCATGAAGTTCAGCAAATCTCCATTATATCACTGAATTGTTGTGGGAGTGATGGCAAGTAAAGCAGAGCGAAGGGTCCTATTTCATATCTTCTTAGCCTGTTAGTATTTCCATGTCATTGGTCCTATCACACCATCTCCAAAAGAATTTCTTGGACCTTATATCACATATGGCATTCCTCTTGAATAGGATCGAAGTCAAAGTTTCGGTCCCGCAAAGACATCCCCACATATCTGTCTATATTGTGGCTAGGAGAATTTCACTCCCCACAAATCAACGACAAGTCTTTTCCTATCAACAAATCCAGACCATGAAGGCTATGGGGGTAATCCTTCATCCGATAATCGGATTCGCAACACCGCTTTTCGCAAAATCTTGAAAATTGGCCTAGCAAGCGTGCGATATGGTCACTCTCGGGATTTGATACAGCTTGATTATGCAAGCAGACGTGGATTTTGCCTCCGAGATGTATGTCACCGCCCCTCGTATCAAGAATGTCAAATCGTTGACGCCTGTCAAACATCAAAAAGGATGTATCTAAACGAAAAAAGACCAGCAAGATGAAGGGGCGCTTGTGAAAAGCTTGATTCAGATCTACAACAAACGCGGATAAGTGCCGATTATCCGTTAGAATTCTTCCCCTGTAAGTTTTCTTGATAGCGAACTCAATGGTTCTTTAAGTCGAGGTCTAATATCTCGATTTTTTTTTTGCGTCGTTTCTCTTTCCCCTACATTTTTCTTTCACCAATAATCATCATAATATTACTTTGAAACTATCATATTTCATTGGTTGCGATGGCAGGAGCTAATGGCCATGAATTGGTCCGCATTGAAACAAATATTCTTCCCCAAAGAAAACTAATAGTAGTTTTCTGTGGATTAGCATTTGCTCTCCTCATCACTTTTATAGATCAAAACTCCATTGGTATAGCATTACCAACAATCGGAGCTGATCTTAATGCTGCAACTACAATTTCTTGGGCAGGCACTTCAAGTTTGATTGCCAATACAGTTTTCCAGGTTCTTTATGGAAGAATATCAGACATTTTAGGAAGAAAAGTGGTATTCCTCACTGCTGTGGGATTATTGGCGCTAGGAGATTTACTTTGTGGGTTCGCTCAGACGGGTCCTCAACTTTATGTTTTTAGGGGCATTTCTGGTGTGGGGAGCGGTGGGATCATGGCATTGGCTACGATGATCGTATCAGATGTGGTTACTCTGGAGAATCGTGGAAAGTAAGTTTATCCTAGCTGTTACATTCAGATTATCCAACACTGGACTGCAGCCCGACAACGAGACGCTTATAATGATTGAAATTAGTATTTCAGACTATAAATGTTTTGGTGCATTTCAAAATTCAAAGTCCATGATTGTCGGATCGTGATTCAGATTGCTGGAAATTTTAATTCCGTAGGTCATGAACTAACGAACTTTAGGTATCAAGGGATCTTAGGATCATGTATCGGTTTGGGTAATACCATTGGACCATTCTTGGCAGCCGCTTTTGTTCAGAATTCGACGTGGAGAGGCCTATTTTGGTGTATATGTCCGCTAGCAGTGCTATCAGGTATTATGGTAGCATTCACACTTCCTCCAAGTAAAGTTCATGGCTCTACAGCGACCAAAATTCGAGTCATCGATTACCCAGGAATCGTTCTCGTGACCGCAGCCATTATGCTCATTCTGATTCCTGTCTCGGGCGGCGGTACTTATTTTGAATGGTCCAGTCCCATGGTAATTTCCATGCTCACACTGGGTGGCATCTGTTTAGTTGCTTTTCTCATTGTGGAATGGAAGTTTGCCGTTATGCCGATGATGCCTTTGAACCTTTTCAAGAACCCTGCTGTCTTCGCCATTCTCACCCAAAGCTTCCTCTTTGGCATAGTCTATTACTCGCACCTCTACTACCTACCAATCTATTATCAGAATGCACGCCAATACTCACCTCTCATGTCCGCCGCACTCACCATTCCATTTGTCGCCGCTCAATCCAGCTTCAGTATCGTATCCGGGCAATACATCTCCAGGACTAAACGCTATGGCGAGATCATCTGGATTGGGTTCATGCTTTGGACTCTGGGATCAGGCCTCGTTCTATTGTTCTCTCGGGAGATACCGAAGTGGAAGATAGTCTTGATTCTTTTAACCGAAGGTGCAGGAGTAGGATTCGTCTTTCAACCTACCCTTGTAGCAGCACAAGCCCATTGTACCAAGCGCGATCGAGCAGTCGTTATCTCTACTAGGAATTTTCTACGTGCTCTGGGTGGTGCAATTGGTCTAGCGATTTCCTCGGCTATTTTCTCGAATTCCATAAAGTCTCGTTTAAATACGCTAGCAACTCCTTTACCGGCAGGATTCAAAGACACAATCTTAGCATCGATATTGAGCGTTCCGAATTTGAATGAATTGACAACGGGACAGAAAAACGAAGTGTTAGATGCGTACATGGGAGCGAGTAGAAGTGTGTTCTTACTTTGGGTACCAATTATTGGGGTTTGTCTGTGTCTTTGTGTGTTGATTAAAGATAAGGGATTGCAGAGACCGGACGAGAAACCGATTGTTAGAGAAGAACAGCAGGAGGAGGAGGAGAGTGGGAGTGTGACCGGGAGTGAGATTGTCGTGCAGCGCGAGGCTGGTAGGGAGAGGGATTTGGAGAGTGGGGAGGGCGAGAAGGTCGTGGGGCCGGAGAAACATTGAGACGAGCCTGCAGTTGTGGAAGAAAAAAATTATTTGCATGCTTTTTTGGGTTGGTCAAAATAAAGGAGTTGTATACCCCGATTAGGCATTGGAAAGTGGAAAAGGCGACTCTTTGACGATTAGAACATAGACACACGAGACTAGACTAGACTAATTCAGACATGAGATAATGATATAGATAACGAATACCACAATCTACGACTACCTACTCTTTGATATATATGGTCGATGATGCATTCGTTGCTATGTTACCTGACTTTTACGAGATCGAATTTCCAGACTAGTGACAATTCAGCGCCCCAAACTCGCGGATGATTAGTTCAATCACGAAGGTAAGGAATTGAGTTTTCGCTTGATGGGTACTATTAGAACAAACAAACCCCGTGCGGGAAGAATTGCAAGCTCTAGTTCACGGACTGATCGATTTGAAATGCAAGGATGGAGATATAGATGTGTAAATCATCGATTAACAGTTATTTATCTCAATGTGTTCTACTGCTCTTCCTTCGCCCAGCTTATCGCCCTGTCTTTGAACCATTTAATTGTTTCCTTTGCAATTGGAAAGTCCAAATCTTGAGCGCCATGAACCCGATCAGGATTATCATAGGCATATTTTAACCCACCCGTGTCCCAAGAACGAAGAGTCAACGACTTAACATATTTGAGCTCCCGAATCTGATTCATCAAGAATGGTGTAATCGAATGCTCATAGTCTCTCTCCTTTGATAGAGAGAAATCACTATCGTATGCATCGGAACACGCCGGTGCATCAATTTCCAATGTTACACTCTCCACACTTGGACACAGTTCGTTGATGAATTGGATATATATGCACATCTCGGGAAATAAATTGTCGGGGCAATTGGGACATCTGCCATCGCGAAACTTTGAATTGCAGCTGTGCAGTGGTGCTGTTCCCCAGAAGTATAAATGCTTTATCAGGTCTACATTTCTTGGATGAATGACGTAGAGAAAGCGGAGGAATAAATCGTGATACGCCCAGCCAGCTAATTCTCTTAGTGGAACGTCTTGCCGAATCTGCTCCATGACATAGGGAATTGCTTGTGGCCAATCATACAGTTGACCAAGTTCCGGCTTTTCACGATCAGGTTTGTAAAACTCTCCTTCGATCCAACATGTTTCATGTCTGTAGGGCCCGATAGTCTCTACAGGAAACTTGAAGATGTTTTTCCGGTAAAGAATTTCAGATCCGAATTTGAAGAATTTCTTGCAAGTTCGGAGACAAGTAATATCAATCACTCGGCGCAAAATCCTATTTAATTGTATGATCTCCCTTCCTCCATGACATATCTTCTTTTCTTTGATCATTGCGGGTCCTCTCCAGGGCTCATATTTTGCATCACAGTCGTACATTGGATGAGTCTCATCCAAAAGAGTAGCGTTGTAGCTGGGTTTCTAGTTATTCATAATTGAACGTCCCACGTTAGTGATGATAACATCTGGATCCAAAGATGCCTTTGGGATCCATAACAAGTAGTTGAATATTATATCAAGAATTTCTATAACGTTTAAATAAAGTTCCAAATTTCAAAACGGGCTGAATCATACCTTGTGGAAACCTGAGAATGTGACGACGGTGCGATTTCGGTAGGTTCCAGAAGTTTTCGCTGGGATGAATTTCTAATTTTTGTCGATTACATTTTATGCCGAGACACATCTGATTTGCATTACCCATTTGAAGGCGACGTTCTGAATCTTTCAAAGGCTGCCCTACAATGAATGTATACCCATCAATTTTAACAATATATGTATATTCTGTGGTACCACGACCATATTTATCGCTAGAAAGTGGAATGTCTGTACTCGGCACATAAGCCGATGTTACTCTTCTGCTACCTCTTTGATGAGTCACTTACCAGCGCCAATTATGTAGACCTTTCCATCTTTGATAAATTCTATACCCTCGAACCACTTGTTGTAGACGTGTTTCTGTACAGCTATCTCATAAGTGTCATCACGACTTAGATCCACAGCTTGCTTGTTCCAAGTGTGTATCACATATTCATGACGCAGACAACCGTGGAATACTGATGATGGGTTTGGGTAATATGGGTCCCTGCCGCTTGGCCAGGATCGAATAAGTCCACCTTCTGATGTGAACTTATCTGTATGGATAGAACCGCCGTCTTCTTCCAATGGTCCGGCGCTATGTATAGGTGCTTCTTGATGATCCCGTCTTGATTTCGATCTCTCGATAGAATTCGCCATGGCAACTGTAAGTCCAAGTTATGTACCGTATAGGCTAACAAGGGAAGAGATTGGCATATGAACAGATAGCTTTCCACTTATACCAAGATTTGTTGCAATGAGTGAGAATTGTATATCCTCAACGTAGCCAGGCCTAGGTAGGTAATTAGACTCAAAATACTCGCTAAAAACAAAGCGGAGTAGATCTGATGAGTCTGATTCTGTACCAGGTGGGTTATTTTCATCGTCATGACAGGGCGAAATCGTAGAGCTATTGATACCCCTAGATTGGAGGTAAGTGTTACCGACAAATCCTCGGAGACTTCAAAGTAACACTACAATACCTAATTACTTCAACAATGTGACCGCAAATTTTCAATACTATCCTTAATCACAATTTTTAAAATGTTAGTGGAACAATATTACAACAGAGTTTGAAGCATGGCACTGTCATTGTCCTCAGAGGTTGGCATGAGTCCAGGAAATCAGCCCTATCAACAATGGTTGAAAAGCTGGATTTCTGAGGGGTGACGATAGAGATGGTCGAACTCACTACTAAATTGGTGGATGAAGGACTTTAGGAGGTATGCTTGACCTCAATTACAAACTTGACGAGAGAATTGTAAAGTTCTATCTCCGAAAACTGTAGGGCCAAGTCTAAAACAGAGGAATCATTCTCGCTCAGACACAGAAAGAACACGAGGGATACGAGCACGAGGAAAATGGGATTATATAGGTCACATAGAGAGCGAAATAAAATATTGAAAAGAAATGAAATTGAGATCCATAGATTCATACTTACCGAGAAAAGAAACGGATTAAAATGGAAGATTACCAGACAAGAAAGTGTGAATGAAAGGGGAATTTGAGAACACAATCTAAAAAAACTCCCGATGAGGTAAAGTCGGAAGTTTGTACATCTCTCGAGTAGTTCGGCACATGAGGCATGTTACCGTGTTGTTATTAGTCGTCTCGAACCATGGAATTATACAGCTTTCATGAAATAGATGCCGATCGCAAAACAGTCGCATGACAACTTTATGGTTCTCACCATCCATAACCTCTCTACATATCCCGCAGACCTCTCTGGCTGGGATTTCTTCGGGTTTGACAAGACGGAGAAGACCAAAAGTGAGATGTGTTGGATTCACAGGATCAAAAAGAAATCTCATCGACATGTTTTTAAGCCCTCTGAATTGTAATAAATATTCATTTTGGTGATGATCATAGAAGTTCCTGATTATCTCTGCTTTTTCTATGTTTGAATATAAATGAAAAAATACTTCATCTCCTGCATCCACAGAGATTTCATTATAGGCTATTAGATCTTGCTGTACAGTTTCAAGGTCATCGTCAAAACGTTTCTGTCTTTCAAACAGGATATTTTGGTCAGAAATATAGGATTCCCATAATTTTCTTCTATCTGCTATCAAATTTGAAGAAAGTGCGAAGGAGATCTGTCTGTAAATACCGTCAGAAATCCAAGTGTTTGGAGGTGGGCGAAAAGATTGAAATGAAGCTCCTTTCTCGATTGCGTCACAAGAAATGCACTTGCATTCCGTGATGCTAGCACTAGCCATTCGAGTTTTTGTCCAAGGATGACAATCTAACAGAAACTTAAGGTCGTATCCTCCTGCACGATACGGATCAAACTCAATGAGTTCACAACTTTGGTGATGTTTAATTACCGTTGTCACATGTCCACAGATACTGGAAAGAGTTTCTGTAACGACACAACAGTTGGGATCCATAGTGTTCATGATTTTTGCTATGAATGATAAATCTCTATGTTGAAGTGTTGTGTTGTGTGTTAGACGAAGTAGATTGTTTGAATGGTGCTTTACAATTTTTTGGACATAAGAATGTGGAGAAACTATATATACTAAAGTCAATGTATATGTTCTTAGTCTGTATTTAAAGACAAATGATTTACGAACAAAGCAAGAACAATTGTGAAAGACAAGCTATGGTGACCGTACCCTTTGTCCTAAGTAACAACATCATTATTCTATCAAAAAGAAGATAAATCCTTCGTTTCTTCCGTCAGTTAAATACAGTTCTGGCTGTTCAACTATTCTGGGCTTGTTGTTGTGGCACTGTTCCAACAATGTCCCAGTAAAGACATTATTGCTGTGCACAGTGACGTTCTTTTTTTATATCAAACTGGGGACCAATCTCAAAGTTGAGATTTTGACAGTTTCCAAGGGCACTTCTATCCAGTATCCAAGGTTACTTGTCTTTTCTACTTATATGTCTGTATTATAAAGCGAGGTTCATTCCTTTTGGGATGGTGTGAGTTAGATTTTCACAGTCGGTATTTCTTTATTCAAGATCTGATCACTTAGTGCATTTAGATCTACTCCCAGAAACCACTTATCTCAAGCAACCCAGAATTTTGACAACTACCCTTTCTTAATCATCTAAAATCCATCCTCTTCAAAGGTTTCTACGCTGTTTTCACGGTAATCATACACGAAACTTCGATATTGTTTGAATATCAACGTAATATTATCTGTTTAGAAAGTGGGAGACATGGTATCTGTGTCTCAATGCATTATCCAGTCTCTAAGCTTTCCATCTCTCTCCGATCACAATGTGCACTTGAACGGCATATTGTAAGTTGTAATTCGAGTTGCCCCGCTATTCTTATTTCCTCCATCAACCTTGTTGACAGTATATTTCACACCACCCCAAGTGACAACATCTGGGACTTGACCGTCTCTACTTACGGTAAGGTCCCAAGTTCCCTTGTCGTAAAAGCATCGAGGCTTGTTACCCATAGCTGCCCATGGAATACCGTTGCTACTGGTGTAGACGCCGCAATCAGGACAACCTTCAGGACCCGTGATTTTGAGATCCACCATACCTTTATTAGTATCGTAGACCGTTACGGTGAGGCGCATGTTGCACTTTGAAGCATCATCTGGGTTGGTGGGGCAAAACTCATGAGAAAAGCTTCGAGGGAAGAAGGCATGCTGAGGAATTGCAGATACAACCAGAATAACGCATGAGGCCAGAATCGTGGTTGCGAAGAGCGGAAGAAAGTTCATATTGATGATGACGCCGGTTTGGAATAGGAGGATATCGGCTAGAGATATCTGCAATTAGTTATCACAAACAAAGAAAGCTTCATTTTGATACATACTTTGAACAATGAGTGAAGAAAATTGAAGGTCTAGAATTGGAAGTACACAGGAAATATCGATGACCTGTCTATGGGAGGACCTCAACTCGCTTGGAATTTGAATTGACCGGCGTACGTTTGTTGTTCCGTTTGTTCGGGTACTTTGCGATGTTTAAAGGAGTTCTTTCAGGAGGATCAAGTTAGAGAAGTTGATTGAAATCTATTGCGAATAAAGGGTACTTGTTTGGAGTTTCTTGTGTTCTTTGTGGTTGTAATTGAAGCTGTGTTGCAGTGATGTGAGAGGGAGCAAGTGCTTTCGTGGGTATTATTATCCATATAATTGATTTTGTTATCGAGTCAGAAGATATTTGAAGACTCATATACATAATTGACAACAATGAAGGGTACAAACCAGTCATCGATGACTCAAACATGGAGTGAATTAAAAAGAGCAAGGCAATAAGATATGACTGGGACACTCTGATACAGTCGATTAAATTCATGAGTTTTCACAACGTTCCGTCAATATCACTCATGTAAGTAAGAATAGGAGCGTGTGAAAATCAAAGTATCATTAAGTATCTGAAATCCAGTGATGTCAATTACTGTCGGGTAAATAGTCAACCCATTCCTTTGAAGGCCAAAATCCATTCTCAACCGTCATCTCTAGCTGGCTACGAATTGCCGTTCACTAATCATCCGTATGACCGGTTACGACTACGGGAGTATGTGAAAGTCTCCACGCTTGAAAAAATGAGTCGTAGAGGGGTGGGGGGTGTTCAGCCTCTTCACAAATTTTCTCCAGAATCAGAAACCGATCTTACTGCAAGAGCAGCGTTCGCTTTTGGACACTGGAATGTATCGCGGTGTGTTACTATTGTAGGGTTTCCATCGGGCACAATTCCGATATATATAGGAGAGCCGTTATGATAAATTGGCTGCAGCTCTCCGTCCCCCTGGACTTGAACTGTCATGTTTCCGCCTTTGAGACAGGGTGGTACCCATGTGATCCTGGTGTTACGATGGACAAACCTATCACCGCACATTGTATCGCAATTTGAATCGAAAAGCTTGACTATAAAATCAAATTTGTTTTGGTTGGGTTTGTTGACGGGGACGTAAACTTCGACAGTGCAGGTGTTGAGATCAGAATTGCCACATTTTGATGGCGAGCGAACCCATGGTGTAGACAGGGGAGATCCAAGGATAAGGGAAATTATGCCTAGAAAGACTTGGGAAAAGATGATGTGTTTCATGTTGATCTTTTCACACAAAACATTAGCCATGAAGCCTCCGATAAGATCAAAGTGCCTTTAAACTTACATGATGTGATAGATTCCTTGGCTTGGCCCTACGAATGGCGTTTTTCAATACTGATAGCTTGTATTTATGACTTCGACGTTAACGTTCTATTGACGATGGACTATGGAGAGGCGAAGTGGTTCTTTGTTTTAGCTTGTGGCTGCAGTTGCAGTTGGGTGTGGTAAACTGCGAGATGCAGTAGACTCGGTTTGATTTTTAGTTGTGATTGTAGTTCAGATTGCATGTAGCACATTAACAGGAGTAGAGAGGTTATAAGCTGCTCGAGAACAACGATGTGGATGACTGTTCCAGCTGACGGAGTCATAGCGTTCAATATCGCGTGTTGTCGAGAAAGAGTCATCGTTGAATTGTGATATGACAAGGTATGTAGTGAATATGAGAAAAAACACGTGGAGGTATTTAAGATCTGATAGTCGGAGCTCACAAGACTTTCTCGATAACTATTACGAACTCAAGCCGGCTGAAACCCTTTTTTATATATTAAAGATCACCGTGCACAAGCAAGCTGCAGATTACATTGGAAGGAATTAAATATCAACGAATAAATTTCTGTAAAAGACTGTACATGAGTGCCCAGATAATGCCTAAATGCAACCCCTCGGTGACTAGGTGAAAACAGCTAATACCAATATATCGAGGCATGCTTGGTATCAGCATGGTATTTGGATCCGATAAACATGGCTTTTGACTGCGAGAGGTATGAGACTCAACAAGGCATCTTCAACACTCTCTGACAAGTACACTAGATATTTCTTTCCCTGCCACTTCAGTTGCGGGAAGCTACAAGTCCCAGTGTACCAACTACTAATACCGATATTCGACTCTGGTGCATTCAAACGAGTGAGATTTGAGACAACCCAAATACGACCCTTGACTTCTATGGGACCAGCGTCCATACCGAACAAAGCTTTTTTCCTGTTGAAGACAAAATGATCCTCGCCATATGAAATACAATTCCAATCCGTGATCGAGGTGGTTGCTGACTCGGGCTTTAAGAAGGTGGTGACGGTGTAGAAACAGGTATTTTCAGGCAGCTGATCGCAGGTCATATCGGGTTTGAGAACCTTTGAAGAGTCTTCGTAGCACTTGTTTGCTCTGGACGTCAAGGAGACAATGACAGGAATAGAGATGGCTCCTTGAAACAATAATGACCACAGAAGAACAAAAAGATGTAGATGCATGTTGACGGGTTTGCAGCAGATTTTGACTATGACAGAGGTCTGAGATCTGATGAGAAATACTCATAAGAAAGTGTTGTTGAATGCCGAAGTGACTTTGAGAAAATTGAGTTGTGGTAATTACGTCGGGAAAGACAAAGATAGTATGAACTTCCATCAATGAAGGAATCAAAGCATAGGTACTCAATCAAAATTATTGACGTATGGAGTAGTGACAATGAATCATTAATAAAAGGCAGATGAGTCATTGATAGTCTGCGAAACAATACTGAGTATTGGCAACCCAGAGTACGGAGAATTCTGCAGCATAACTGTCATTTAGAATGTTTATATCAAGCTGAGTGGTGAATGTTGGTGGTATCATAAGATCGGAGTACTTAACGGGGTCCGAAGGATTTCTGTGAGTTAAATGTTTACTTGTAGATATTGTATGACTATAGTGCTCCGTATTGTTACACATCGACTAAGGTTTCCATGTGTAATGTGAATTTTCATTTTACAGTTCGCATGCCGATTTTGTGCGTGTAACAAAGAACATTGGCTACTCGATTCTATTTATTATGGCTGTCTTGGCCCCGGTGATAGACTGAATGAGACCATATTCACGAACTTTTGAAATGCATTCACAGAAATATGCAACGCAGTTTACAGGAAAGTCTTGTAAAAAAACACGTTTTGCCTATTACGAATGTGCCGCAGGGCGACGGCAGACCTCTATTTACATACAAATTGTATTCACCCTACTCTCTACCCCCGAATTACATTACCACTCTTTAAAGCGAAAACGAGAACGAGGATACAAATCTGGTTAAACTTCATACAACTTGGTACGTATTTACCACCAAAAATGAACAAGTCTTCTGTTGTTTAACATGGGATCTCCAGCGCATAAACATCTGGAGTCCTCGGATCTATACCCAAAGGAACAGTTGGAGGCTTGAAGTTTGCGTCCAAGAGTTTTAAGACACTGTAACTTTTGTCCAACCACTGAAGTTCTGGTGATATCGGTGATGTAAAGCTAATCACTGCTTTGGGTGCATTCAACCGAGTGAAATTTGACAACACCCAGACACGATCTTTCAGAGGCTTTGGTCCACCATCCAAGCCGAAAATCACTTTAGTCCTGTTGAAAACAACATGGTCTTGACCATAGTCGGTACAATTGCTATCTGCCATTGTAGTGATAGCAGATTTATGATCGGCATAGAAGGTGTAGAGGCATGAATTTTCAGAGAGTTGATCGCAACTAAACTTGGATGTTAGCTGCTGAGGTTTATCTGATAAGCCAGGAAGGGACAAGGCGGTTGGAACAACCAAAATGACTGCTGCGAAAACCCGAAGAGTGGCGTGATAGTTCAGCTGCATAGCGATGGAACTGATAGGTATTCTCAAGTGTGAGCAGAGGCGAAAATTCAGGAAGGAAGAAGTACCCACGTGGTCTTGTTTGGAACACTTAAGGCGAGCTTTGTAAGCTAAGGTGATGTATGAAGTTGAAGATAACTCTGTGAAGTGCGATGAGATGTAAGTGAGATAGGACGAGTAAATGGTTTCTGGGTGAGACTTTCTTGAGTGGATAGGAAGTTTGTAAATGTGAGTTGAATGTTAGTGTTGGTCGATAGCTGATTTGTGTTTTTGAAGTTGTTGATCTTTGTATTTGAAAGATAAAATAATTGCATCTTGAGCATGAAAGGCAGATAATGACACGATGAAGAACCTTGCTTCCAGTCATCATGCCTGCTAGGCCTGACTCAGAATTGAGTGTGAACTACATTTGTTGTGAACGATGAATAGACGCAACGAGAATGGCACGTGGGAAAAAGGCATAAATATTGATGGAAAGGAATTAGAAAATACTGAAAGGAAGATACTCCGGTCACTAGATGTTTGAAGGCTTTGTCTGAAAATGATACAATCCCCCGCTTGAGAGGGAATGTCATCAAATTGAGTAGCTTGCGCTGGAAAATGCTAAAGAACCGTAGTACTCGGGGTAAGCGTGTCGTAGCAAAACTTGGAGAATTTTTATCTGATGCCCTTGCTAACCATACAACAACAACACGTCACTACTTCCGAGCTACTTCATCTTTGAAGCAGACATGTAAATCCTGAAAATGACTTCTCACAACAATCATATCAACGACGGATATGCCTGTACTTGAAGTCGTCCTCCCCACCATTGCTAAATCATTTTCCTTTAACCATTGTAATTTTTGAGTCTGCGGTTGGTGGGTACAGCAAGCCTTTGAGCCATGTACGGATCCTTGAATGGCGAACGCTGGGTTCTCCGGCGGCAACAGTCCTCGAGAAGCTTGGTAAGAAGAATTCAACTAACCTACACGTAAAATGAACCCAGCCGACGCCATCGAACAACCCCTTTGATATAACGAGCGACGGAAATCTCCCATAGAAAATCTGCTAATGTTGAATATGCTACACCAATAGTAAACATATTGCGATCGTCATTGGTGGCAAACATTGATAGTTTCAATGATGTGTCTTGACCACTAGTAACTCCTACATGATTGTAATCTTTTTTCCCCTCTCTCAGCTCTCATCTATGGTAAGATCATCTTGACCCATGAATTTTGCGATTTGGCTGGTTCATAAGTTTGGTTTTGGTATCCTGGGCTCAAAGCCAGAGGTAATTTGCACCTGCAAGGCCTAACATTACCCGGTGAGATTAGCCGCACGCGCCTTTGACGCGGTAATTCAGTTGGTAATTGTGGAGATTCGCCTTCCTCATTTTTTCATTTTCACCACACCGGTGATAAATTGGAACCAACCACATCGATCGTTGAAGTGAATAGACTTCTTCAATTCCAGTAGTGCAAATATAGATTTGTTTGTTTACTTGCATGGTACAATATCACAAGTCTATACCAAACCCTTCCTCTCAAGCCAAATTTGAATCAAAAAATGTCGACACACGCCCTTGAAAAGACTTTGTTACATCTTTAATTCACTCTCTACGTGAACGGTTACATTTTGTCTTCAGAACTCTCGATTAATAAATTGACTATATACACCGGTAAAGTAACAATTTTATTCATGCTAACCATTGTATTATATTGTTACAGCTTTCATTTTTCAATTTGATATAACCATTCAAATTCCCAATGGCATTTTAGACCAATTCTCGACCAGGACGAGAAAATTGGGCGATCAGTGCTGGTTTCCAACCTCGCCAGTAGGATTCAAGAAATCCCCATTGGCTCTGCGTTTCTTTTCTTGAACTGGTTGTTTTCTCTGTGGTAATAAAGATAGTCTGCGCAATACTAGGCGTTCCATGCTCATCTATGACGAACAACATCCAGAACCCGGGAATGAGAATACCAGGATCGGCTGGAGCTTTTGCCAAATATTGGTTTCCGTGGAAAGAAGCCTTTTCCAAAGGCAGTGGTACGCGGCGCTGGTCAGTGTTGACTGTGTGAGTTGCACTACCGATGCGAATCAAGGAGGCCGAACGGATTGCAACACTTGTGGTCAATTCCAGCGTATCGCCTATGTTCATTTGATCTGGGACTCGTGTGGTGATCTTTGGACGAGAGCGCAGTTTCCCATCGTCTGTCAAGAGATAAGGCGGTGTAAATATCTGGCCGTCATAGTGATTGGCAGAGCAGTTACCGCACAGGCCACCACCTGCATTCAAAACCCTTCCATCAGGTAACAAAATTGATAGTGTGTGGTAAACACGAACGACATTATTTCCCGATAGTTCGGTAAAAGTGTTGGTTACCGGGTCATACAGCTCAGGTACAAACTGTACGTTTTCTTCATTGAAAGCAACGCCAAATGTCTGACCACCAGCAATGAAAACTGTTCCATCGGGCAGAACGACGGATGTGTGGAAAACTCGCTCTGAATGCATCATACCATTAGTTCCAGCCGGTTTAACATCTGGATATTCTCCTGGTCCATTCAGAGTAATGACATGAGCATTACTGGTGGCCCAAGATTTGTCATAGTCAGGAGACCCCCCGATGGTAAGAATCTTTCCTGCCACTGCATCAAACATTACTGCATTACCAGACATTGAATCTTCATCATCTAAACGATTCCCAGCTGCTTCAACACTGCCATTTCCGTCTGTAAAGTACCAATTCATAGCTCGGCTAGGACCGGCTTGAAAAACACTTCCATTCTGCCATCCAAAGAGCCAGCCGTGGTTGTCCGCTCTCCATGGACCTTCCATATCATCAGTCAACATTTCTTTAACAGTGGCATTAGGAAGCATAGACCAGTTTCCGACGATGGGGTCGTAAACTTCTCCGTTTTTTGCAATATTCGAGCCTCCAGCCCAAGAGCCACCAATAACAAAGACACGTCCATCAGAGAGAGTCGTGGATGCTTGATACCCACGACGTAATCTCATTGGAGGTGCCTTGACCCATTGATCGGAGGAGGAATCATATAGACTAGTCTCCGAGGCATCATTGCCGCCAGTGACAACCATCATGCCGGTACCATCGATTGAAATTCCGGGGCAGAACATATCATGCGCAGTATTGGTAACGATTCGCTTTGAGACTACATTTGTTGACGGGCTCCAACGAGTCATTGCCGTCTGACCACCAGGTGTAGAATGAAACGTATCCGAAGCCCATGATGACCACAAAACAATATTGCCAGACGCCTCTTGAGCCCCGGCAACTGGAACGACTGGAAAATCAAGGGTCGGACCCCAGAGACCTAGTTTGGGATCTCGAGGAAGGAGGTATTGTGTCGCATAGATATTGAGCTCGGAAATACCTATCCAGGATGAGATATCTGCCTCGGCGCTTACATTGAGCTTCACGTACCGAGCGGATGTAGGCTCGAATGCGGATAGTCGCTGCCTGTTTGTGTTTGGCCACATTCCATACGCAATGGGCTCTTCCCAGTTTTCCTTGTCGTTACTGACGTATATTTCATGTTGAGTAATGAGGCCGTCATCTCCAGTATCAATAGGAGGAAGGACGACAAGCCCACTGACAGAGTAGTCCTTCTCCAAGTCTATTATGATGCTG